CTCCACGAAAGCCAATCAGCATCCATAGCTCATATTAAAAGGTCTCCAAATCCACTTCTCAGTCTGCTACCCAAAGTGCAGACAGTGGTTGTGCTATGTCGGACTTCGATTCAGATAAACCTGATTCAACCAACCTCCATCCCCTCCTCCACCATTGCAGTTAAAGCTTAATCAGAGTGTCATTCCTCTGAGACTCTTACTGCGTTTCCTCTCTAATTTCAACTGGTGCGACAGAAGACTGCCATGTTGAGCCTGGTTCTGCCAGAGGTTTCTTCCCAATGAGGAGTTTTTCCGCTCCACTGTTACTTTATGGTTGCTCATCATGGACAGGTTCATGCAACCTGGGTTATCCAAGCCGGACTTACATCTTCCAGGTCCCTGAGTGAAGCGCTAGTATCATGCAGTCCTCTGGTGTGCGGGAAACATCCCTATTCAATACTCCTGTTTATGCATATCAAAGCAAAATTCAGCATTGATGTTTCCTGCCGAGATCTAAGAGCCAAAGACTAAAGTAATTGTGTCAATAAAATTCTTCTAATTGTCTTTTCTTTCTGTGTGAGTTTTTCAGATTGAAATTTCAGTTCACAATCTTGCAATACTGTGGCATTGACATCATTATCTGTGACATTAGAGCCCAATAAAATAAAATGACTGGATGTGAAAAGGTGGAATAAGAATACTTTTTCCGATGCAGAGCAACCGGAAAATTAAGCTTTCAACTCGTCTGTCAATGCAGTTAAACCAGAACAAGCCTCTTAATTGTATTTAGACTTTAGCGTGACTTTAAAGAGCTAGTGTTAAATTGTACACATCCACATAAAACCCAACACAAAGCTCTTTCCTGCCAGAGAATGTTTGAGCACTCCTGCGACTGCTCTGCCCTTGACTTGTATCCATTCATCCAAGCATGCTGGATGGTTTAGTTAATTAAGCTTAATCTAACCCCAGAGATATGACTGCTGTTACAGAAACCACTGAGCTGTCCCTGAACACTCCTCTCTGGACCACCCACGTGTACTCTGTACGACTCATGCTAATGTACCCATGTTGTCAAGATTCGGGTTTCGTAACTCGAGCGCTCCAGTCATTTCGTACATTTTGTAACTTGCACTTTTTGTAGTTCCTTTCCGAAAAGTTGCATGACCAGTTTCACTTTCGTCTTCCACACAGTTTCTAAGAAACTAGCTGTGGATAGTAAATCTCTTCATTTCTAATTAAAAATAAAGTTTAATTGTTTCTTTTCAAAGAGATTTTTTTTTCTAAATTGTAACTTATCATAAAATCTGAATAAACCAAAAATAACTTAATGGTTCTTTATACTCTTCTTTTCACAGGGAGTAATGTTTTGAAGGTTTAATCACCCTACCAATGCCTGATGATTTTATTGAAGCTGTGACATTCTCTTATACATTCTCATATACATATACAGGTGAGTAAACAGCTCTTCCCTTTACTAAAGACGTGTCCTCCAGTTCTGTTTCTTCTTCACTTTCCCCTTCATAGATTTTCTTTGTCAATCCCATGTATGTACATGAATACCCTCCCAGTACAGCAGGTTGGTTGGCTCCTTTATCTGACTCCAATGTGTACTTTTTGTTTTGTACTGACACTTTAGCTGCATCATGATCGGTAATACTCTGGCAAAAAGTATGTAAGTAATTTACCACCATCTTCCTGAGGTGGTTCAATTGTTTTTAGTTACCTTAAGACAAATGTGTAATTGGTAGAACATTATAATCTCTTTGGGTATCAAGGTTCAAACTTTTGGCCACTTTAAGATCTTCTCACTTTTTTTCTCCCATTTTGGTAACTCATTTAGCAG